CTTCCTATTCTGCTTTCTTCTCCTCCTGTTCCTGCTCCTCTTCTCCCCTTCTTTCTCCTCCTCCTCTTCTCCTCCTTACCTCTCCTCTTTTCCTCTCCTCATCATCCTCTCCCCCTTTTCATCCTCCTCCCTCCTCCTCTCCTCACCCTCCAACCTCATCCTCAACCTCATCCAACCCTTCTCTCTCTCTTTACGCCCGTCACGAACCCCTCCTGAACCGCCCGCCATGACCATGAGCAATAGCATGAGGAGACTCGTCCTTTTAACTCGAGTCTCACGGAAATGTGGTCGACGAACCGGTTCCAGGGTCGGGTCAGGGAGGCCGGGGAGTAACGCCATGTTGCTTGGTCATGTTACGGAAAGTGCGCGTTGGTTTCTTAATCTATAAATCCATTCATTTAAAGAAAGGGGGAGGAGGGGGGGGAGAAGGGGGGAAGAGGGGGGGAGCGGGGGAGGGGTCGTATTGTGTGAGAATGTGGGAAGGTGCATGAGATATTTACGAGACAGGTGTTGAATGTGGGTTGGTTAGGGGGAGGGGGAGGGGGTTTGCATGTGACTGCGTGTGGATGGAGTGGGGGGGGGTTCATGTTATGCTCTCTTCTCGCTTATCTTTCTCTTCTCTTCTTCTCCTCTCTCTCTCTCTCTTCGTCTCTCTCCTCTCTCTCTCTCTCTCTCTCTCTCTCTCTCTCTCTCTCTCTCTCTCTCTCTCTCTCTCTTCTCATTCTTCTATTTTCTCTCACTTTCTTCACTTTCTTTTTTTTCTGCGGAAACATGAATAAATACACTATTTCTTATTTTTCTCCTGTGTTGTTACCGGCTGAAATTACTTACGATGTACTTGTTGTGTCACGCTGCCCAAAACAGAGGTAAGGTTTGGTAAAGTCTTTTCTTCGGTTTATTTTCGGCCATTTCTTGCATTGTCGGGTGGCGTTCTGCGGAGACAAACTGTGAATACTGTAATGTGGGGAAGAAATGTAATAAGGAAGAATGAGTCTGATAATAACGCTTGTGTGAATCGACTATTGGCTTTGCCCTTTTATATAACTGCACTGCTGACTTCGTGTGCGTTCGCTTCATTCTCTATTTATTGCTGTTTGTTTTCTTCCAACGTCTGTGCGTTTTATTTGTGTTTTTTCCCTGTTGATTCTCTGTTTCTTTCCTGGAGCAATCTATTATATCAAGTTAACAGTGCTTCGATAATGTCCTTTTCCCTTGACGGCATATTTCGTATACTAAGGCATGATATTTATCAAGGATCCTATGTAAAAACACGCCCAAGGAGTAGCGGTGGAGCCACTGGCTTCCAACCTACAAGACTGGCCTAGAAGAACGCGTTTTTTTCCGTTTTGTAAGGACGGAGAATCCGTATTCAAAAGGGAGAGGAGACCGAGATCCACTTCGGCTTCGAAAGGGACTTAATTTTAGGCCTTCGGGTTTTTTTTTATTATTTATTTATTAGACCATTCTAGCCCGAGATCACACCCTCCCCCCCTCCCCCCTTCTTCCCCTTCCAAAGAATTATCGCCATAATCTCCCCAACCTTAATTTTCCACACTGATTCGCCTTCGCATTCCCATGGCTTTCGCATGTCCTTCGAAACGATCACTACCCCTCCCTCCCCATAAAAGTACGATAACATCCCATCCAACACACCGGACGAGCGAACGTTAGAGTAGAGGTGAATGGTGTGTAGAGAGAGACGGGTATGACGACGGGAGAGACGAGAGACGGACAGGGAGAGAAGAGTAGGAGTAGAGAACGGAGAGGAGATTGAGAGAGAGTTGACGCTCGGACGAGACGGAGAGAGAAGAGAGCAGAGCAAGAGGCAAGAGCAAAGAGCGAAGAGCGAATGGCAAGAGCAACGAGAAGAGGCAAGAACGGAACGAGAAGCATGACGGCGAGTAAAGAGAGCAGAAAAATATGTAAACCCCTGACCCCATTATGTGCCTCTATCCATGCTTAGCGACGCGGCGAGCGCTCTATGAGTCCCTCACTTCAGCAACGTGACTATTATATGTGCCGCCCGATGTCTCCAATTTTATTCGGTACAGTTATACCGTTCCCCCACATATCCAGAACCCTGAAGGTCGCTATCCCTGCCCTCCCGCCCCACGCACACCCTGCCTTCAACCCCCAGGGCCGTAAGGGAAGGCGTGAGAGGAGGCTGGGGGAAGGGAAAGACGGAGAGAGGGAGGCCATGTTTGTTATAGTGTCGGTGTGTGAGATATTCATTTTTTTCTTCTTTTTCCGTTTTCTTCTGTCTTTCCTTCCTTTCTTGGTTCCTTTTCCTTTTCTTTTTCTTTTCTTTCTTTTCTATTTTTTTATACTGATTTTATCTTTTCTTTTGTCTTTTCTTTCCTTATTTTTTCTCTTTCTTTTCTTTTCTTTTTCTTCCTTTCTTTTTCTTATTCTTGGTTATTTTTTGATCTTTCTTCAGTATCCTTTTTTCTTTTCTTTGGATTTTTCTTAGATATTGCCTTTTCTCGCTTTCGTTTTCTTTTTTTTCTTTTTCTCTTTTTTCTCTTCGTTCCTCTTCTCTTCTCATTTCTTTCTTTTCTTGTCTCTCTGTTTTCCTTGGTTATTTCGAGTATTAGATGGGTTAATAAAAAGTGTAGAGTTGTACCACGACTGGTGAGGGGATTTAACAAGAATTTTGAAAATAAATCGAGGCAAAGGTTGGACAAAGGGTTTTTTTTGTCTCTTCTTCTAAGCGAGTTGGTGTATTTACAGAGCAAATTCTCTACAAGGTGTGCTTTTAAAAGTTTTCTTTTTTGAACTGAGATGCTACTGAATATATAAGTGATGATATTATATATATTAATAGGCGATGATGAGAGAGAGATGAACCCGGTAAAGAGCAGCGATGAGGACGGAGGAGAGGAGGAGGGAGAGAGCAGCGATGAGAGGACGACATGAGCGAGGCCAGTACGGCCACACGCGCCCCGAGAGAGAGAGACGGACTCTGGACACGAGAGAGAGAGATGGTATTGCGGGAGAGATGAGAAGAGAGGAGAGGAGGCAGGTATATGATGATAGATGTATGTGTGACTGCGCACGAGGTGTTTGTGTGTGTGTTGTGTGTGTCTGTGCAATGTGTATGTGTGTTTGTGTGTGTGTTTGCCCTGTGCTGTGTGTGTGTGTGTTGTGTGGTGCATACTGTGTCGTGGTGTGTCTGTCTGTGTCTGTCTCGCTGTGCGTGTGGCCTGTGTGTCGTGTTGCGTCGGATATGTACACATATATATAGTATTTATCTTATATATGTATACGTATAATATATATATATTAATGATATATTATATTATATGCATGTATTGTATTGTCATCGGTTATTATATATACACCATATATGTATGTGTATATACTACATATGTTGTATATAAATATTTATAGACGCTATATGTTAATATAAACATATATATAGAAAGTTACCAAGATAGTGAGATATAAATAGTGTATACATAATATAATGAGTATTTATACTGTATACTGTTCATACCTTATATATGATTATGATAGGTATATAGATAGTATATATATATACGTACAGTATATAATATAATATATATAGTACAAGATAGTATACATATATATATATATACATATTATATACTATATATATACATATATATATATATAATATTATATATATATTATATATATATATATATAGTTCATATTATACATATGTATTGTGTATGTCTGTATGTGTGTATGTATGTAGAAATACTATATACGTGAACACACACATACAGGCACACGTACGCATACAATTTGGCGTCGCCAGAGCCAGACAAACGAGCCAGCGAGCGGCGATCGGCGCGTGTCGTGGCAGACTGAGGGAGGTTTCGTATTCATGAAGTATTTGCGGAGTAAAAAAAACCCGGCCTGGCTCCCGTAGCAAGTTTTCCGACGCCCTTATGTTCGCGTCGCTGCAACTAGGGCGGCCTTGCAATGCTTGCTGTGTTGCTTTCATTGGAATGCTGAGGGAATTTCTTGCACGCTTTGGGTATATTGATTTATATTCTTTAATTATTTGGATTAATTATGTTTGTTTTTGTGGTGATTTATATCTGAAGTCTCTGCTCGTATCTGACTTTTTTTGTGGCGGCGTTTTTTATGTGTTTTTGAATATGCAGTTGAGAAAACAACTACATACATATGGGTCTTCATCATGTTCTCCAAATATGGCGATTGTTTGGTTTGTTTGGTCGGGACTCGACCATGAGGGATTTCTGCAACGGATTACAAGTCCTTCTAAAGCACATCACTTTGTTTCCCCACTGCACAATTGTATGTACTATACGACCCTCAATTCAACCTTTCAAACAAGGTTTTATTTTCTTGGCCATTTTTTTTTCGGGGAATTAAAACATCAGGTCATATGTCTCCCCCCCCATTGTTTCTTGTTGTTGGCGATCCTTTCCTCCCCCTCCTCCCTCCCCTCCCCCTATCACCAGAGTACCCCATACCCACCCCGCCGTTTCTGTCTGTTGGTTACCCCTGCGACGTCCCTCCTCCCACATGCGCCTCGTCGCCGTACATGCCAGTTTGTGTTATACTCCCTGCTGACCTTCTTCACCATAGTCTGGCTATTTGGTCCCCCCCCCCAAAAAAAAATCAGTTTCTGTTCTCCTATCTAAAACTTGGCTGTTGGTACCCCTGCTCCGTCCTCTCCCCCCCCCAATCCCATTCCTTTTTTTGCCTAAAGTTGGTATGTGTTGATACCGTTTCACGACTCTCCTTTCTGGTTGTTTTGGCTGTTGATACTATTGGACATCGACCTACAATGTCAGTTATTGCCTATAGTTTCTTGTTTATATTAACCTCTTTCTCTCTCTCCTCTCTCTCTTCTCTCTCTCTCTCTCTCTCTCTCTTCTCTCTCTCTCTCTCTCTCTCTCTCTCTCTCTTCTCTCTCTCTCTCTCTCTCTCCTCTATCTCTCTCTCTCGTCTCTCTATCATTCGTCTCTCTCTCTCTCTCTCTCTCTCTCTCTCTCTCTCTCTCTCTCTCTCTCTCTCTCTCTCTCTTCTTCTCTCTCTCTCCTCTCTCCTACTCTCTTCTGTCTTCTCTGTTCTTAATTATTCCACTCTGTTATTTCAGTAATTGTTTCCTCTCCTCATTTTAATTCCCCCCATTCCCCATGACCAAGAAACTCAATCACCGTGCAGCTTCATGCTTGTGACCCCCCCCCCTTGCACCACAGACACACACACACACACACACACACACAACACACACACTCACCACCCACCCTGTTCATACCCACCATACCCTTAGCCACCTGTAGTTTCTGCGCAACACCCAACACCCCCACCCCGTCACTTCTTTACGTAGTTCTTGT